AGAACATACACGCCCTCGACCATTGAAATTAGTGTTAGAAAATCAAGAACAAGTAAGACTCATTCTTGTACGGCGATTCAGAATCAAAGATACCAATACCGGCATTTTTCAACCGGACTATACACCGACAGAGAGGGTAAAACGCCGTCAGTTAGCTCTCATATTGCTGTAGAGACTATAAAATTGCGTCTGTTTTTCACTGTTCTTTTTTGACTCCCTTCCATCTAATCGCTCGTGTCATTGGCGTCACCCATGAGCCGAGATACTCCAATTACGTGTTTATACTACTCGCAGTGAGTGAGTATTAATGCATATTAACTATTTCCCAAAAACTGAACTGAAATGCACTCTCATGACAATATGTCTTTGGAGTCCAACCATTTTAAACCGTATGTGCACCAAGAGGCTTTAATGTACTTATAACAGATGAGCAAAGTGTCACGAAACAGTGCTCCAAAGTCGTAACGAGAGCAATGTCGGTTATGAGTGCCATACGAAGAACGTTTGTTAACTTGAATGCAGATATCTTCGGAAAAGTGTATGGAACATTCTTGCGGCCGCATCTGAAATATGCGGTACAGACTCGGTGGCCTTGGCTTCAGAAAGACACAGGGATTTTTGAAAGTGTCCAATGATGGGCTACTAAGGCAGTCCCTTAACTTAAGAAGTTACTAAGGGGAACTGATCTGGATCTCAAGTGGGAGGATCTCTTTCAAACGGTTCCAAGAAGGAATCTCAGAAAACATGATTGCTATTTGAAGAAGGAACTGAACCACACAAACCAACGTTCGTTCTTCTCTCAAAGAGCTGTTCAGCAGTGGAACTACTTGCCAGCGTCTGTCTCGCATTCACCCTCTGTTAACGTGTTCAAGAGACGGTTGGATAACGCCAATGCAAACTTTGAAACCCTCGCCTAACAGAAATGACTACAACATTGTACTTGGTTGATTTCAATTGAGTTTTTTATTTATATTAAAAGTGGTCCAGACGAATATTTCATAGTGGATATGTAGTGAACGTGTTGTACGCTGCTATTCCGGAAGCGCCTCACTTTGTTAACCATTCGTGTTTCCTAGCTATTTTCCTGCATATTTACATAACAAAAGCAACCTGTAACCACTTTTGCATACTTTGTTACATTTAATGTATTCCTGTACCACTTCAATTGGGTTTTTAAAGGCTTCGGTCATTTACTCCAAGTATACTGACTGATACTCTTCCTCCGACCCTGGCCCCTTCCTCATACTGAACAGAGGTGACGAACTAGATGTAATTGAGGATGGGGCAAATTCTGACCGTCTTTCAGATTTTACAACTCGATCTTTACGATTGAAGGCTAATTTATCCCTCCCAGCTATGACGGTCCGAACATTTATAGAATGTCTTTCGGCGAAGCTACAGTTCGCCAGGAGTTATTGACACTAAATGAGTCCAAATCGCCTGGCACTTATGATATTCCGCTTAAATTACTGAAGGAGCTTGTTAAGGAACTAGCTAAACCACTTTCCATAATTTTCCATACCTCGTTTGGGGCTGGCTGTTTACCCGTCAGTAGGAAATCTACACGGATCACACCATTGTATAAAGACGACATAAAAGTTTCCGAACACAATTACAGGCCAATCAGTCTCACTTCGATCTGCTAAATATTATGGAAAATTAGTTAAGCGAGAGTTGATGTCCTTCTTAGAGTAGAATTACTTGCTACCTGCTGCACATGCAGAGGCAGGTCCTGTGCGATGAACTTGCTCTATTGTTTGGAACGCTGGACCTGGGCACTTGGTGGGGGAAATTCGCTTCATGTAGTCTACGTTGACTTCAAGAGAGCATTCGATATTGTCCCACACCAACGACCTACGTAAACTCAGCCGAATATATGTAAGGGGAAATCTCCTGACGTGGAATCGAAGCTCCCTACTTGGTCGTTATCGAACTGCAAATGTTGGTGAATAGCAGTCGACGCAGCTTGCCTTTGAGAGCGGGGTTACCATACGCTCTGTTCTTGGTCCTACACTGTTCAGTATGTACGTTGGCGACTGCGTCCGTGAAGTGGATTGTTTGTCGCTGGAAACA